GATAAGTTGTCTGACAAGCTAAAAGTGTGCAAATAAGTCTTCTGCAGAGGGCTAAACCTTGATAAGTTGTCTGACAAGCTAAAAGTGTGCAAATAAGTCTTCTGCAGAGGGCTAAACCTTGATAAGTTGTCTGACAAGCTAAAAGTGTGCAAATAAGTCTTCTGCAGAGGGCTAAACTTTGATAAGTTGTCTGACAAACTAAAAGTGTGCAAATAAGTCTTCTGCAGAGGGCTAAACCTTGATAAGTTGTCTGACAAGCTAAAAGTGTGCAAATAAGTCTTCTGCAGAGGGCTAAACCTTGATAAGTTGTCTGACAAGCTAAAAGTGTGCAAATAAGTCTTCTGCAGAGGGCTAAACCTTGATAAGTTGTCTGACAAGCTAAAAGTGTGCAAATAAGTCTTCTGCAGAGGGCTAAACCTTGATAAGTTGTCTGACAAGCTAAAAGTGTGCAAATAAGTCTTCTGCAGAAGGCTAAACCTTGATAAGTTGTCTGACAAGCTAAAAGTGTGCAAATAAGTCTTCTGCAGAGGGCTAAACCTTGATAAGTTGTCTGACAAGCTAAAAGTGTGCAAAAAAGCATAATGCAGAAGCCTAAAGTTTAGTTGAAAGCTAAGGTTCATGCTCTCAGTGGCAAACTAAAGTTAATCTTTTCATCACCAGACATTCTCTTCCAAATTTGTCTGCACTTTTTGCTTATATTCTTCAATATTTCTGGGAAGGAACCCTAATTTTTGGAGCCAACAGACAAAATTTGAGTCAATTTTCAGTTTTTACTATAAAAGTTTTGCTATTTTTGTTTGAATCTTCTGAAGGAAACTATAAACAGGACTATTGCAATGCTTCTTTGATCTCTATTGAGGGCTAAATCTGTCAATAAATCAAATTAAATTATTTCATATTTACCTTAACGAGTCGAAGACCTCTGAATGCACGGAGAATCTTGAATACCTTTATGACCTTAAAGATGTTTGGGTTGAAACTCTCTGTCGAATCATTATAAGTCACATCCAATACAGTATCCGCAATGGATAAAAGAATAATAATAAAATCAAATATATTCCAGTAACTATAGAAGTAGTACTTTCTGAGACCAATCATCTGAGGGAAAAATAAAAACATGAATGAATTAGTTACCTTTGCAGCAATAGTCATGTGGAGTGGGGTGATGATCACAAGTCGTACGTGTGGTGGAAATGTACACTGTAGTTGGGTTAGTCATGTTTGTATTTATTTATAACAATTGATAATTTAACTTTAACTTTTTCATTTGCTCGGCAGACGCCTCTTTCCGTTCTGTGAAGTGCGTGTGCATCATTATGTTGATTTATGTGTTCATACAATATGCACAGTGAAGGGCACAGACTTGGGTCTTTGCGCATAAAAAATATTTTTAAAAATCATTTAATTTCAAATATTTAATGCGAGAGAGTCGTCACCAGCGCATGCATGGGAATTGAGTCCCAACGATAACAACACACACTAAAAACGCAAAGGCTGATGGATAGACACAGTGTCCACTCACCGTTTCCAAATGACGGGCTTGCTGATTGGATAATACTGATAAGTAATGATGACGTCAAAATGTCAGTTCTGGATTAGTCAATTTGAATTCAAACATCCATTTTGATTTATAAAACGTTTAAAATGACCCCAGCTTACTGCCCTCCACTGTAACTGTCTGAGTTCCTTTGGTGTGGTGAAAATTGTTCAAATTTACATACTAAACATTACCTTAAGTATGGCTTCCATGATGTAGATCCCGAACAGAACGTAATTAATATACTTCAATGGCATCTCTGATTCAGGGTATAAGCTATGTGATTCGTCGATACCCAATTCTAGTCCGATGGGAATTAGGTTAAGACCAATGATGGAATATATCATGTAATCAAATATGGGATTACAGACCATCGTATAAATTGCTTTTTGCACTCTGTTATTGGGTTCTGGGATTTTATCTTTCTTGTTTTGTGCCCAGTCTTCAAGTTTTCTTTTCTGTGTATAAAAGCATGCATATGGTTATGAATATTTACAATAAGAGTGGAATTTTTTGTGAAAAAAGAAGAAATAAATATCATTGATGTAATGCGTCAAAGTGACAACATGGTAATTTACAACAGCAAGAGTTAAAAGGTGGTGATCATCGCGCCGCGTCCTGTTCGACCACAGTCAGCTGGCGCACACGTGATATTAAAATAAATACGATATTTCTATATGGGGGCCGCCATCTTGAATGACGCATAAAACTAAATAAGAGACAAGTTGTGAAACGCGTTTTTCAGATTTCTACAAATCAGGACAAAAATACCAATTTTTCACAAAAATACGGTCCGTTGGGGTTATATTAAGCC